CTGAAAATTAAAACATTTCGGAAAAATTTTCGAAATTGAAATTTTCTCTTGTAAAGAAAAAATCTGAAAAAAGCAATAGTCTTTGCAGTTACTACACCGACCATAAATAGAAGCTCAGATGTTTAGTATCCCGTAAAAATATTTCTAATTATGCCTCTGGTCAGTAAATTACAGCGTACACCAAGCGAACTGAAAATATATGTAGTGCAGGCAGGCATCGTGTTTTGGCGCGTTAGATAAAAGTCTGACGATATGAACGTGTGATTACATGGGCCTTCCTTCTGCTCAGTGAACATGTGCTGCTCCATACACTTCCATACTCTCTCCATCTTTCTTTGTTGCATTAGGCACTGCAGTTGTTGGGGTATAGTTGCTCCTACTATTTTCAAAACACTCCTTTTTGTCTATATATTTTCATAAAAACAATAAAATTAACAAAAATTATTTTTATCTCAAGTTTATGCAGTTCCATTATATGACGCAAATATAACCTACAATATTGATGTACATAATTTTCAGGAAATTTTGTGGAAATAAAAACGAGGTAATATTTGTTTTGAACATTTAAATAGACAACCAAACTGCACACTGACTGACATGCATGCACACATACATATCCTGCTATTTACGAAACATAACGCGAAAAAATAAGAAATTCATTCACACAAATGTGTGCTACATGTGTAAGGCACATACACGTACAAACACACACATATACAAACACACACAAGCTGCCATACATTACTAAGTGTAATATGAGATTTATTGCATGGAATCCCTGCTGAATTAAACACAGCAAAAATAATAGTGAAATTTCACTGTAGCGATAGATAGTGTGTTGTTTGGCTTGCGCAGAAAGAACTTCTGAAAAAAACAATTTGTAATTATAAAGAATATATCCACAAATAATTTAAAATATGTTAAATGAAATCAAGCAAATTTATTTTGATAGCAAAACCTTAATTAGTTAAAAATAATTGTTCGTTTGGTGTGTGTAAAAATTATTTATTTGCAGTTAATTATTTTTTGTCTAAGTTTGCAGTTTATTCATCTTCAATGAGAAATCTATCATTTTTATTTTATTTCGCGCAGAAAACTTTCTTATAACTCGGTTGGTTCGATGGTATCGCTGGAGCAATTGAATGAAATTGGTTGGAATTGTTGAAGAGTTTATGCATCCAGTTTTGTTAATTCTTGTAATCCCTTGGTGTTACTCTGCTTGGGTTTTTTGTTTTTCATGTTTATTGTATTGGTTAGGATGTTTTTTTGTAGTTTTTGGTGTTTTTAATTTACTTTTTATTTTTAAAATTTATGTTTTCCATGTATAGTCGTAAAAATTTCATTAAATTATTATTCTGTGCGTCTTTTATGGCGATGCTAGTTAGTTATTAAGTTTGTTGTTTTTTGAATTTTTTTAGCCTGGCATTCGTGTTTTTAATAATTTGTAATTGATTCATTTTTGATATATTTTAACGTGGCTGTTAATAATGTTTTTGTAGTAAGTCAATGTTTTACATTGCTATTGACTTTATATTCAGCAAAGATAAAAATAAGGATTTGTTGATTTTGGCAAATTGATAATTATTTTCTCACTGCAAACTCTGATTGTTGCTTAATAAATCTAAAAGTGGAATTAGTTGATAAAAAAATTAAGATTTTTTTTAATCTAAAAAGATATCTTTATATAAATGGATAATGAATAATTGTGGCAATTTAAACCCTTTAGTGAAGTCGTATAATAGCATACATGCATACAAAGGTTCATCCTGTATCATACCTGCTCTGTTGTTTAAGTTTAACACTAATTCTAATAGTTACATCTCAATCAATACGAATCTAATAAACAAGTATTAATGTATAGCAGACGTAAATTTTAAAAAAATATATAGACAAAAAATTAGCCTTAACCTGCTCGTATTAACTCTGTTTATCACATTTAAAATTTTAGTTTTCTTAAAATGAGAACTGTTGCGAACAAAAAAAGAAGTCGTTGGTATCGATAGTGAGCCACAACCACTACCACTCACGAACGTAAAACAAAATTGATGCTGGAGTCGAATGGAATATTTATTCAGAGGCTTCTAGAAACAGCTTGGTTCGATCAGATTCGCCAAAATTAAAACACATTTTCACAGAAATATACAAATAGAGAAATAGATAGCTAGATAGATAAATCATGAGAGAGAAAAAGAAAGAAAGGGAAAGAGAGAGAGAGAGAAAGAGAGAGAGAGAGAGAGAAAGGGGGGAAGAAGGAGAGAGAAAAATAAATGGAAGGATTGGTAACAAATGAATCAATTAGCTCACAGTGACATTTCTAAACTGACTTAATGCGGTGTAAATTAAATGAGATTGTGTGAAAAATATTCTTTCTAATCAATATTTTAAAAACATTCTACAGTCTCCTAGAACATAGATAGACTAAATAAAATAGATTTTATAAACGATTAACCAAACAATTGAGCTGACGTACGAATAAATAATTAAAAAATCTAATGGATGAATGAATGAACTAGTCTAATGGAAAGAGATGTTTGTTCTTATATAACTGATGTAATTAATCAAGAACTAAGTTTACAAATTGAAATCTGGTTAACTAACATTCTTGAATTTAAAAAATATAAAAACCAGGAGAAAGTGAGAATTAAAAAGAAGCACGTAAAATTATGTAGAGCAAAAATTTTGCTAATAAACAGTCAAACAAAATAACAAAATCATTCATGAAAAATCATCCAACTTCGAAATAGGAAGAGAGAAAACGTCGTAAAAATATTGAGTCCGTCGGCGCGTGAAATATTTGTGAAGAGCGCTGGAGCGTAACTCTTTGTAATTATAAACCATTGTAAATTTACGCGCCTCGTTTACTCTGCTTTATTTTTCTTTCAATAAAAAAATTCACCATCCGAATAATGAAATTTGAAAATTTTTGCGAAAACATTCCTACAAATCAGTTTAATAGATAAGTTGTTTTATGGTTTCATTTCAAGTGGCAGGTGCTTTGAATCATCCCGTTCATGCTAGGGCGTGTTAGAAATGCTAAGCTTGCGTGTGTTTGTATTAATATTTTTTTTTACTGTCTAAATTCATTTATATGAATGGTCAGTGTTTTTTATATATTGACGCAAAAATTATAAGGTTGATATTAAAAAACAAAAATCACGATTAGGCTGGATTTACTTATACTTGAAGGAACATAGATTTCCAGATATTTCCAGCTGATATACCTAAAGAGCAAAGTTTATTTTATTGCTATTTATGATGTTTTTCGCAAATGAGTTTATTTAAATACTTTTTATATAACTTTCTCAAATTTTAGCGTATTTTTAAAAGAAAAATCATCTTCAAAGCACAACGTACCTAAACGAGATGGGTACCAAGAACGTAAAAAAGAACGTCTGGTTGGTCGAATGCACAACATCTAGCTAATTTCATGCAGACGTGGAGGAGACTGGAGCGGATGTGGCCGAATGTCGTTCGGGCAATTTGGCTTTTCGATGAAATGTTTCATTAATGCGTGTCGACGTCGCTAGCCAAACAGAAATTTCGCGTTAACGATGATTGATGATATGTTTCAATATGATCACATCGCAAAGATGATGTCATCATCTGCTTCAGTGTGATCAGATAGATCGCAATGATGATGTCATCATCTGTTTCGTTGTGATCAGATCGCTATGATGATGTCATCATCTGTTTCAATGGGATCACATAGCGAAGTGATCACATAGCGATGATGTTGTCATCATTTGTATCGAAATGATTAAATTGTAATTATCCCTATTGTACCTAATTACACAGAAACTAAACATATGTAAACTATTAATAGCAATTACTTAACCACCTGCTTATAGGTAAACAATTATGTGAATAAATTTTATATTTATATATTCAACTTTATAGTTTAAAGTACAAACAAAATATTGTTTATAGATAGAAAGTAAACCAATGAGTGAATTTAACTTCAAAAATGAATTTTATAAATAACAATGAAACGATTAAAAAATATTTTTAGATAAATATCGCGTTATTTATTATTCGTTAATTATAACGCTTTTTTAATAAATTTTCTTATATTGTAAATAAATTAATATAATATAATATAATATAATATAATATAATATAATATAATATAATATAATATAATATAATATAATATAATATAATATAATATAATATAATATAATATAATATAATGTAATGTAATGTAATGTAATGTAATGTAATGTAATGTAATGTAGTGTAGTGTAGTGTAGTGTAGTGTAATGTAATGTAATGTAATGTAATATAATATAATATAATTTAATGTAATGTAATGTAATATAATATATAATAAATTAATGATTGATAAAGTTTTATTACTTGGTTAAATAACAGATTAATTCTAACATTATTTTCAATTTCATGACTAATGTTAACACAAATGTATTTCTAGTTAAGTGAGGTTATAATCATAGCGTGTTTTTTAAATTCATATAAATAATTACAAAAAATCAGTTGGTGTTTTGAATGCTGTCATGGGAAACTAATTGATATCAGGCTACTAATTAATTCGTCATTAATTATATGTAATCATATTACAATTCTGAATAAAACATCCTAGTTCATTCGAAACACTACGATGAAAAAATAATCACAAAGAATTGAGTTTCATTTTGCAAAATCAGCTGAACATTTTAAATTTTCGTACATTTATCTGGTAGCAATCTTTTCGATTAAGATTACTATATCATTTTAAATCGTAGAAATAGAACATAAAAAATAATTTAAATTAATTAATTAATGACTAAAAAATAGTTTAACTGCCAAATTTTTTGTTTAAATTCAATGTATCTTTTATAGATTTTAGAAGGTGTGTGAAAGGTTATTCTCGTTGTGCCGACTTTGATCCAACACCTAGATGTAATTTTGACTATAGCTATCTAGATGAAACGAAAATCATTTTAACTACGGCATCAGATCCTTCCACCCCATCGAGAAAATTGTAAATCATTACAACTAACACAATGGATCCTTCTACTTCCCCATCACCCATGACAACACTTCCAAACTTTCCTGCACTTACTAACGCGGTTTTCGGCGGATTTGGACAACCGACAAACAATTACATCGGCTTTTTATTAGGTTTTGGTTGTTTTGTGGTTTTAACATGTCAATTTGTTTAGTTCTATTTTTTGATAAAGTTGTGAATAAATAATTTTTTGTAACAAATGGAGAGTTTATTTTAAAAAAAAATTATAAACTAACTTTTGGAAAATTAATTAAAAAACATACTGATTGATAAAACTTTCAAAGTCCTAGGTCCCGTGGTTGTAATAATAATGGTCATTATTCTATCGGCAGTTGTTGGATGTGTTTGCATCAGGAGAAAAAGAAAAAATGATGAAATGTAAGTTAACATAACCTGTAAGTAAATTTATACTAAACAACTTGCAGCATCGATCAATTTATGAGTTTTCTAGGAAATTTTAAAATTTATACAACTTTCGACTAAATGAATGTGATTGGATAAGTTATGTTTGAAATCAAATATCATTCAATGTTAATTTTTACCTGATATCGGTTAACTGATTTATATAGTTTGGAAGAATAACATTATTTTTTATACCTCCATAAATCGATTTTTGCAGAAGTTGTTTTAAAAATTCACCTCATTATATTCATAACAAAATGCTTACTTAGTTAATAATGAATTGAAATTAAATTGTTTTTTGGATCAAGTAAATTTTAGCTCCGACCAACATAACATATAGTAAAATTACGTTTTCATTCAATAAATGTTTCAACTATGTCCATTTCAAATTGATAGTAATTATTTTGTTCAACTTTATTTAAGCAATCATGGTTACACAAAACCGGTAAGAGAAAGATCTGGCTCGACTTCCAATTACGCAGAAATAGCAGGATTGGACGCTACAATTGAACCCCAAGCAGCCAGCACGCAACAATTCAACCGCCTGACCTATTCCTCTCCTCGATTCAATGCCCAAATAGAAAAGAACGTCGTTCATTATAGCTATGATAAGAATTCTTATTACGTCGAAATAGACATGCCACCGATACGTATCCAACTGATCAACTTAAATACGTTAATCTGGTTTTCAAAACTTTCAATCAAGAAAAAAATACCACCAAAAGCCATGCTGTTCCATATTATGTTGAAGTGATAAAAAACCAGTCAATCACTGGAAATCAACAAACGACCCAAAAATTATCCAACAATCAGACATACGTTTGTCTCAATTTTAGCGAACATAGTAAAGAGAAACTAGAAGAACAAAATGACTTGGAAAACACTGCGAACGAGTTCAAAATCGACAATGTGAACGCCATTAAAAATCAGAACCGCAGTTACGAAAATGTTGTGATGTGTGACGAAAGTGTGTATGAAAAAATTAACACCGCTATCCTAAACAATAGCAATAATGCGTACACTACTCTCAAGATAGAGAAGTAGCAGTAGTTGATGAAAAATGAATATAAATATGAAGGATTAAATGATGCTGTTAACATTGATTATAACAATCACACGTTTTTATGCTGTAAACTTGTCAGAATTTATTATACGATGAATTTCATTCACTTTTTCAATGCTTCATGTTTACAAACCAATAATAATAAAATAAAATTTATCTTTTATTGTTTCAAACTGATTTATTTTAAATTTTAAAAATATATAAATATAATATTTGCTCCAGAAAAATGTTTAGCACATCGTAAAGCATCACTATATTTTAATCTGTGGTGCTTTTTCTGTCTACAAACTTATGTTTTAAAAATCAGCTTGTTTCTAGACAAACTGAAACTGATATCTCGAAAAGTTGATGGGTTTTATTTAATTTTATTTAGTGAGATTTTTTCCTACTTAATTACATATAAGCTAAAGAACAAAAATTTGGTTTGAAAATAAATAAAACTAACCAGAAAAAAGCATTAAAACAATAAAACTGGAAACATCAATAGCATTACTAGAGCTAAACATAAAAAGAAGTTCTGTTGGTTTAGAGGAGCAAAACAAATGTCATATACACGCTTCAGTGAGCATGATGTTACATGAATCTTGATGTTTATCTCATTGGGCCATTTTGTTTTTAAAGAGAAATTTGCTTTTGTTGTTTCTTCATTAAGAGTGAATGTTAAGAATTTAGTTTAAATGAAACAAAAAAAACACGAATGGAACATGACAACGCTTGCTAAATTAATTTTGATCATAATTTTGAAATCATTGGCAAAATATTTTTAGTTTTCTAAAGACAAAACATGTATAAGTATATTATCATCTGCTCCGTCACCGACAGTAGCAGCAAAATTACATAAAATTGCAAAAAACTAAAAAATTTAGAAGATCAAGCAAATAAAAATTACTATTTTTAAAAAAATCCCCGTTCACATAAAGAAAAATATTTGCTTAAACCACGTCACTTACGTCAAGAAACAACACAAACTATCAATAATTATAATAAACTTTCTAGTTTAAAAATTAAAAAAAATCAATTACTGAAATTGAAATTGAAACGAAAAAACCAACGAAACAAATCCATTGATGAGTAACTACAGAAGAAATACTTATGATGGATTGGACTCGTCGGGCTAATCATATGTCTGAAGTTTCTTCATCATCAATTAAGCAACAATGTCTTTCATCAATTTATTGATTTAAATTCTTTAAAAAAAAGAAAAGAAAATATACAACATATGATAAGTGTACGAGATATACAACATATGATAAGTGTACGAGTATAAAATGTATGTGCCCATCTTTCTCTTTCTCTCTCTCTCTCTCTCTCTATCTGTATCTCTCTGCGTGTGTGTGTATGTGTCTGTGTGTATGTGTGTGTGTACAGATGTATAGGTTTGTATGTGCAGCGAACCGAGATACGTACGACAAATGTGTGTCAACAACCTTCGTTGCGTTGTTTCGGATTGTTTTCTAATTTAATTAATTTTCCTCATTCATTAATCCTTTTTTTCTTTTGTTTTTTTTTTATTCATTCATTCACTCGTTCATTTATTCATTCATTTACTTCAATCCGTGTTTGCATATAAGAATTGCTTTTCATACCTGCTGATTGTAATTTTTATAACTAATGAAATTAAATCAGTTACTCTCTCCATTCTCTATAATTGATGTATACCATTCATAAGTAAAAACACAAGCTACATCCATAGCTGATATATCAACATTTGATTAGTCCTCTTAAAAAAATTCTTTTGAGATTTCTTATGATGAGAACACAAAGTAGAATCAGATTTGAAATTTCAAATGTCACATGTGGTTTTGTCAAGGATTGTGGAACAATAAACGCTATCTTTATGCTACGAATGATCAGTGAACGAGCGATTGAAATGAAAAAAAGACTTGTTTTTATGTTTTGATAGCGTTAAACACGTGGGGCTTATAGAAATATTGAAAGATTTAGACATTGATGGAAATGACACGAGTGTAATCAAAATTCTCTATTTGGAACAAAGAGCAGCGATGAAAGTTGGTAACAAGATGAATAGTTTTGCCAAATAAAGAAAGGTGTTAGGCAAGGCTGTGTATTCTCTCCAGACCTGTACAACCAATGTAGTGAGATCATCATGAAAAAGATAGAAGATCTACCTGGAATATCCATTGGAGGTGTGAATATACACAATGTAAGATATGCTGATGATACAGCTCTTATAGCAGATTCAATGAAAAACTGCAAACAATTGTTTCAAAACTGGTTTTTGAAAGTGAAAGAAATGGCTTGCAAATTAACATCAACAGAACAGAGTGCATGGTTGTCATTAGAAGCAAAATCTCTCCGATTTGCTCCATATTCATTAATGGCAAACAGGGGAAACCAGTCAATAGCTTCAATTATCTTAGAAGTCTAATTACCTCAGGTCGTAAATGTGATATGGATATCAAAAGAAGGATAGCTATGGCGAAAGATGCTTATTCAATAATGAAAAACGTCCTCGCCAACAATAAAATCAAATTATCAACAAAATCAAAACTGTTAGGGTGTTATATTTTCCTGTGCTTGTTTAATATCACCACATTTCAACTACTGCAAAGTGTTAAAGATCGAGTTTTGTGGTGGTCGATGGCTGCCAATGTCCTGAAAGGATAAGGCACGAGGAAGAAGAAGAAAATATCAAACATCAATATTCATATTGATCAACATCAATATTTTTTTGATATTTAATTGAAACTTTAATAACTTCACAATTCTTCATTAGTTTACATTTGTTATATCCAACATTTTTTAAACCTAAAACTAGTTTTCATCACATCGCCAAAATTTTAAAGAAAGTTATAACATGAACTTAGTGAGTAGAAGTTTGTATGATACGTTCAGTCAGGAGACATCAACACAGCAACGCCATCATGTACTTCTTAGACGTTATCAAAATCAACCACAATCATCTGTCATGCAGACAATTCGCCTGATAAAAACTTTCATTCATTCATTTATTCATTCGTTTGTTTGTTCGTTTGTTTATTTATTTATTCATTCAATCATTCATTCACTGTTTCGATTGTTCGTCTGTTCATTTTTCTATTCATTCATTAATATTTGTACAAACAATTCATCATAAAAGATACATAAATTTATCAAATGTTAATAATGCAAACACATTATCAGATCATATATGAAAAAATTACTCGAATGCTTCGACATAAGTTGTGGCGCGACATCTTATGAGAAACTATTGAGAAGTTATTATCGTAACTATTTCTGTCTTATTATAGTGTGATAATTTAAAAATAATAAACATCATGAGCGTGAACAAAGGTGTTTTTAGGCATATTTTCTACTAATTTTCATCAATTTTTGTCAAAACTTTCAAATGATAAACGTAGAAAATAGTTGTAACGGTTTTAAGACTCAATAAAAACATCAAATAAGAAATGGAGTAACGAATTTAACGGAGACAAGAAAGGAAAAGGCCTTAGAACAGCATCACGTGGAGTGATAAAAATTATATATATCTTTTCTTCCTGGACATGTCGTGGAAATGAGGTCATTCACAAAATGTGTACAACAGAATGATGTACATGCTACGTGCAATCTACAACAATGTCTCTCTTTGTTTGCTTGTGTGTCTGAATGTGTGTGTGTTGTATGTGTGTGCGTGTGTTTAAGTGACAATGTGTGTGTTTCTGTGTCTGAGTGTACATTTTTGAAATAAATGGTGCTCATGACGTTTATATTACGTAAAATATTGTTGGCAATGTTAGTGTTGTATGCAAATTAACGTGATGTCCCTTTGTTCACGTTATATTCAGAATGAGTTAACTGCGAACCATCTTCTTGGCAACTTAGAAGCTCAACGCCATGCTGTTACATATATTTATAATTAATTGCTAAAATTATTGTCTAGAATTGAAAAATTATTTAAAAAGTTAATTACAGATAAAGCATTGATCTAAAGTGAATTAATTCAAATTAGGTTAGCCGAATAAATTATTATTTTAATATTACTATGAGAACTATTGAAATTGTGAGTTTGATCGTTGGATAGGATGGTTGTCGTTGAAGTTGTAAATTACTTTTGCTGATATTGTACACTATTCTGCAGTGCTGTTTACAATATTTTGTACTTTTGTAATGCGATAGATGAAATCTCAGCTTCAATCAAAACATTTTTCGTCTGCCTATGTTACATCAAGAGTTTATTTTTAATTCCCTCTTTTTTCATGTAAAAAAGGGAAAAAGTGTTTTTATTATTAAAAATATCATTCAAAAATCATTTTGAGTTTTTTTTTAATTTTAGAAAAACGAAAAAATAAAATGGCTGTCACTAGTCGACTCTAAAAAAGAGTTACAAAATCTTTTCAAAAAATTAAAAAAAATTGTTTTCAAATAAAATTTCAAAACATAAGACTGTAGACAAAAAAGTTTAATTAAAATAGAATAGTCCAATGAATTAAACTGAGGTGCGCTGGTGAAGAGAGAGGGAAACATTTTTTTTTTTCAAAATTTTTTCAGGCTCTATTGTAAAAATTTTAAAGATGAAATTAATGAAGCATTTGCATGCGTGGTATGCATTGAATCAATGAATGACTGACTGACAAGACGGCCACAAACATTAATTTTAATTAAATTGGTGACAGATTATTATTTACTGATTGTTGTTAACAATTTGTATTGATGTGTTTGTTATATACTAATTTTATTCATTAGCGTTATTTAAATATATTTTTCGTTTTATTATTTTGAAATCACGTCTTTTATTTTTTTTTATATATCTTCCTAATCACATTGAATAGTAAATCATTGAAACCAAACGGCTGATTGGAAATGTACGCTATTAATTAATTTTCTGAATGATTCAACTTTTAATTTAAATTTGTTTTGCGACAATTACGATGATGACGACGACGACAATGATGATGTTGATAATATTGATGAAGATGAAAAAGATGATGGTGATGACGACGATGAAGATGAATCAATTTATGAAATGATGAATAACTTTTCATGTTTTCATTTTACTTTTGCTCTCATTCCAAAGAGAAATTTAATTTTAAAATTTCCTCATTCGGCGGTGAAAATTATTTATAACATCTCATGGCAAGGCAGCACGAACTCAATATAAGACGGGCGTGATTGATGGTGACAATGGTGATTATAGTGACAATGGTGAAGGAAGAATAGTTGTGAAAGTATGACGCAGATGGTAATGATGGTAAGTATGGTAATGATGGTGCTGATGATAATGATGGCAATGATGATGATCGCAAAATTATGAAGACGATGAAAATGTTAAAAACGATGATCTGTGATGATTGTGATGATGGTGATTGTAATGATGGTGATTGTGATGATGGTCTTGAATCTGACGATGACATTAGCCATATAATTTAATTAAAAATAAAAAAAAATAATAATGTAAAAAATTTAATTGAATTATAATTTTCTATGAACAATGAGATGAAGATGGATAACGGTGCTGCTAGACGAGACCGCAACCGCAACTGCAACACACAAAAACATCAAACATTTCTTTGATTGGGGTTATTTGATAATAATCTTAAAAAAATTAACACCTAAAAAACATCAAAAATTGAAATAACCAAAACCACATCAACTAACAAATGCTAAAATATTATGACGAGAACTTTAAACATGACATTATAATAGAATACAAAAATCTACCAAAACCTACCACAAAAGATAAAAAATAGCTTGCAAGAAAGCAATAAATAGAGCAGAAAACTGACAAGGTTGATGACGATGACAGAGAATAAATCGTCAGAAGCACCCAATGTTCATGATAGTTATGTTGACAAGAAGTTTGTAATGATATACTGATACATGGATACATACATACAGTGCAACAAGCTAGACTCACCTTCATATTTTAAGAGGTAGTAAATGTTGTTGTCACGGTCGAACTTCAAATTTATTGTATTCTGGTTTTTTGTTTCGTATAAGATGTTGCTGTTTTTATTGTTGTTGAAGGTTTCTTGGTTGTTGTTGCTGTCGTTGTTGTTATTGTTGAAGTTTTTTGCTGGATTGGCGTCTTTGAACTGCGATTTATGCTTGTTAACATAGACCTTCATGGAAAGACTTTTACCAATAGTAGAATAAACTAATGCAATCCTCTTCTGTTTCAGACAAAATGTGTGTTGTTGTTGGTGGTGAAGATAATACTGTGGATGTTGCTGTTGCTGTTGCTGTTGTTGAGTTTGTTTCTGTTCTTGGTTGTCGTTGTTTAAGGCTTTGCTTTGTGAATTGTGGTGTTGTTGTTTGGGTTGTTTATGCAGCTTGTTGTGTTGTTGCAGATGTTGTAGGTTGTGATTGTACCTAATGTCAAACTCGGTGATGATAGCGTACGAATAAGGACATGGAGTTATGTTGTTGTTGTTTGTCTTGTTGTTGATGTTGTTAAGTTTGTTGATGTTGTTAAGTTTGTTGCTGTTGTTGTTTCTATATACATAATCTAGTTCTTTTATAGACTCTGTGTTCACAATATTATTACTAATATTATTATTATTATTATTATTAATATTGTTGTTGTTGTTTTTGTTGTTGTTGCTTTTTTTAAAAACGTCATTTTTCTTATTCGAATTATAGAACCTTAAGTTCGGCCGAGATCCAAATCTATTTTTAGCATTTACCATGACGTCATCATCAACACCGCCACCATCATCATCAAGATAATCATCATCGTCATCATCATTGCCATCAAAGTTATTATTATTATTGTTGTTGTTGTTGTTGTTATTGTTGTTGTTGTCGTAGTCATCATCTCCATTATTAATATCATTATTATTGTTTCCGTGAGCCGATCGTAGATTATATAACGTCATTGTTAACCTTTGACCCGGCAGACTTGCTATAATCCATCGACACGATGATGATGATGATGATAATGATAATGATGATGATGATGATGATGATAATGATGACGACGACGATGATTGTAAAGATACTTTCGACAGTGATGATGATGATGATGATGATGATGACGATGATGATGATATGTGAGCATTCAAATGAAGCGAGTTACTCTGCACAGGGTTTTTCATTGCCGATGACGACGATGTTAATGATAGTGGCCACGATGATGATGACAATGACGACGGAAATGATGATGCCGATGATGATGTTGGGAATGTTCCTGAGTGAGAATGACGAGCGGAAGTTAGGGGGAAGTTTCCTATGATGATGAGAAAGTAATCATCAGTTATGTGGCCTTCTGTGTTATTAAGGATTGTCATTGACGACATGTCGCTACTGCCGTCTCTGTCGTCGTCTGTGTGGTTGTTGTTGAGGTTTAGGTTGAGATTGTTCTGTATATTATTGGACGTGTTGATATCCTTATTCTTCAGCGAGTAATTGATGTTCTTTCCACTAATGCCACTACATCTTTGTTTACTACTAATCCTACCATTACCTAGAGAAATGCTACCACTACTACTACTACCACCACCACTACTGCTACTACTGCTGCTTCTGCTACTACTAGAAGTTGTTGTAGTGAAGTTGTTGTCGCTGCCATCATCGATACAGCATTCACTCGGCAGCAGAGTATTCACTGTAGTAATGTTTTCAAACAATTTTCTGCAGATAATCATCCAAAATAAATGGTAACTTTACTGCACTGTCCGAAGCATGGCGAATAATGCAAATGTTAACAACACCAGCACATAAATTTTATTAATTTCAGGGGACTTTTTAGTTTTTCACATATCAAATGTCTACCTTATTCAATTAATCAAATTTATTATATTTTTTAGCCTGAGTTTTATTTTGAATTATGAAAATTATTTTTTAATATATTAATCTGTTTTTAACATTAATAACGCAATGAGGGCGTGAAACATGCGGAAAATTGAAATGTACATTTGAGAATGGTTGGTGTGTTGTTTGAAAGTTAACTTAATAGGATGTTGCATGCAAAATTTATTAGCATTATTTTTAAAATTAAATTTCTTTGTGATTCAAACTTTTTAATCTTGTTTACTGTTGGAAATAAATTTTTATAATAAAAAACTTTTTATTTCGGTTGAATAGCGGTTGCATGATTGCCTCAGACCACATTTTATATCCTCAAAGGCCAGTTCAGCTGACAGAAGCAATTTTAATTGAAAAATATTTCAATTTATCTCATTAAGGTTCGCCGTTGTCAACACCATTTTCGTCGTCATCATCATCATTTCTCACATCATCACCACTCTTAACTGCAATGTCTTAACCTTCATTAACAGTTCGGTCGGTAGCTTTCATTACCAATAAACTTTTTTTTGTAATAATCATTTAATAGTGTTTAAGTCGCTAGTCTGCATATTTTTTTGAGTGTTACAAAAATTAGAGTGAAAAATTGTGAATGATTTTAAAAGATTCAAACTAATAACATTCTTTTCTTGATTATATTTAATCTTTTATGTTATATCTTTACTTAAAAATAACTATTATTAATTACATTTTAAATGTAATTTAAATTTAAATTTTAATTACATAATTACATTATAAATAACTATTATTAATAACATTCCACCACCTAGTCACCTACCAGCCACACAAAGGAACTGGACATCGAGATAGAGGACGAGATCACTGAAGCAGTTGACCAGCTTCAGAAGGTGTGGTATGGGAATGGGAACTCTGCAGTGTCGTCTGCCTGATGTCGAGAGGGAAACATTGACAGGAAATAAACTTATTAAAGTAATTTTCTAAAAATTTTTAAATTGAAAATTAAAGATTGTTTTTAGTTACAATTTCAACTTTCCAATTGTTACTATGTTGCTATTGTGTTCTTGCAATAAACATAATGATGAAAATTTAACAATTTTTAAATATTTCATAAAAAACTTCTGATTATTTTTTTATTATTCGCTCAAACGTGCTAGCAGATAATACTCATAATTATTTTAATTGTGAAGCTTTTTTGTTCAAACCGTCAGAACAAAAAAAATGCTGTTAATTAAAATGTTTAAAATTAAAATTGTTAATTGAACACTTCGTACATAACTCCAAATTTACTATAAACAGACATACAAAAAACAAACAAACAAACAGTCAAACAAGCAAACAGTCAAACAAGCAAACAGTCAAACAAGCGCACAAACATAACAGCAAACAGGCAACCAAGTGAAGGATCACCTGAACACAAAAGATCAAGATGTTCAGTGACGTCAGCATAACATCCAAGCTTGTAGTCACGTGTCATACATTTGCCCAATCGCATTCTTCCGTACAGAGCGGAAGTGATGAGGATGACCGAGCCAGGTGGACAAATTGGGGCGAATTCTTCGAGGAGACAGAATTCTTCGGCCTGGGATCGGCTGGTCAGTTCTGCAAGGTTAAATGTCAAAGGTCAATATCATGTATTAATAAATTTTATATAACTTGTTGATGATCCGCTAGAACGTGCTTATGTAAGTCATTACTAAGCGACTAATGGTGATAATTCCAAGTGAATATGCAGTATACACACACACGCACGCACACATAAACGCAAACAAACATTTATTTATAATCAGGATAAAGTTAATAGCTGATGAAAGCAGGTGTCATCTGAGGCTGGCTGGCTGGTGTGAAACTCCTTCTGTAGGGAAGATGGCGAGATTAGTGAAGAGAGATATGAGAGCTGTCATAATGATGATGACAAAAATGATGATGATAATGATGGTAGTTATTATGATAAAGATGATAGCGATGATGATAATGATGATGACGATAATGATAATGATGATGACGATAATGATGATGGCGATGATGATAATGATGGTAGTAATGCTGGCACTGGTGAATTTAAAAATGTTACCGGTAACATTCCCACCGATGATAATGTTAGTGACGATGCGATTATGATGATGAAAACAATGTGCCAGCGTCGTCTGAAGCTTGACAAAATCATGAAAACTTTTGAATTATTGAAAAATTATAGGTAGACAGACATATGAGAAGTTAAAAATAACACGGCGTCTTTGATTATAGAGTGAGTGAGTGAGTGTGGTTGGTGAAGGAATAATATTGTCATAATTGGTAATAACGATGAAAGTAGAAATTAGTAAAAACTAAGAAAGATGATGTCAATAATGCTAATGTTCAAAGTGATGATATGAGTTAAGATTTGCAAGAAGGTCAGTTGTGCAACATGATTTCTATCCATTCATCCATCCATTCTATCTATCTATCTATCTATCTATCTATCCATCCATCCATCCATCCATCCATCCATCCATCCATCCATCCATCCATCCATCCATCCATCCATCCATCCATCCATCCATCCATCCATCCATCCATCCATCCATCCATCCATCCATCCATCCATCCATCCATCCATCCATCCATCTATCTATTATCTATCTATTCATCTATTCTTTTCTCTATTATTCATCCATTTATCCATCTATTTGTTATGTATGTTATCGATCTTGTTATCCATTATTCGATGAACTCACTCATCCACCCATCCAACAATTATCTATCCATCCATCCATTTATCCATACATCCATACATTCTTACAACCATACATCAAATCCATTCGTTCATTTGTCAACACATTCACCCACTAATTTCTAATTTATCCATTCGTTCATTTCTTTTTTCTTTCATTCGTTGATTCATTCATTTAAATTTCTTCCTAAGTTTTTACATTTCATTAATTATTCTTCTTCCAGTCTCATTATTGTCCAGATTTCAAATTAAATTTATCTGTCTCCTTTCATGTCTGTATGTGGTTGTGTCAGAGATGGCGTTATGAATAGCCGCAAATTTTACGACCAAAACAACGTGTGCACGAGACACATGTGTTTGTATACGCTTTGTATATGTGTGTATAACATGAGATGAGGTTTTCTTAGCAAAATTTGTGGGCAGTAGGTTGCCATTACTTGCTGTTAACTTTTCTACTTCTAAATCAGATGGTAGGGATAAGAAATCGCGGTCCCCAACGAAAAACATTTGTGAAGTCCTTGTATCACTTGTTGAGTATCATCACATTTCAACTACTACAAAGTGTTAAAGATCGGGTTTTGTGGAGGTCGATGGTCGCCAATGTCTTGAAAGGATAAGGCACGAGAAGGAAGTGCACAATATATGTTGCATGTATGTAATGTATGCATATGTATGTGTGGTTACGTATGAATGGATTTAGATACATGCAATCATTTCTCGTTATCAAAACATAATGCTTGCTATTTCTGTTTTAAATATTTTTCAGATTTTTAAATTATTTATCTTTCTTATTAAGAAGATGATATATGCAGTAGTGCTTCCGGCCACTGTGTTGTGGTGGTCGTGTTTCGATGCAAAAGAATCTCGACCTGTCGTAAATGTGTGGAGCGCTGTTTTGCACAAGTTGTTGAAATGTGCGCTATATAAATTAAAACATTTTCTTGCTGAATGCATTGTTGAGGTACTTGTCGTTATTGGATTTGCAATTAACAACACAACTTAACATCCTATCCTCATCTGCATCAGCAATTACGTCATCATCAACAATAACAACACCATCAACATCATCATCATCAACAACAACATCATCATCATCATCATCAGCATCAACATCATCATCAACAACATCATTATCATCATCATCCTCATCATCATCATCATCATCAGCATCAACATCATCATCAACAACATCATTATCATCATCATCCTCATCATCAGCATCAACATCATTATCATCAACAACATCATTATCATCATCATCAGCATCAACAACATTATCATCAACAACATCAATATCATCATCATCATCATCAGCATCAACATCATTATCATCATTGTCATTATCACCAGCACTCTTATCACAACCAGCATCATCATCATCATCATCACGGTGCCCAAATATTTCGCTGTACACAATCTCCACCAGCTCAAATTTATTTCAATTTTACAACTGTTCACTAACGTTCAAAGATAACAACACTCCATAATAATAATAATAATGATAATAATAATAATGTAATAATAATAATTATTTTTTATTATAAGAATAAAAAAATTATTATTACTATAAATAATATGAAACGATTTATAATATTGCCATAAATAATATTATCCTTATCTGCAATGTTTTTTTTCCTTTCGGAGTAGGTTTTTATAAGCGGAAGTTGGGGTGTGATTTTTGTTCGGTTGCATGACGTCATCAAGCATGCGTGATCTTAAACTGTGTCTTTTTTCTATTTAATCTCAGATTCCGTTCATTTTTGAGTGAAAAATTTGTTTAACTTTTCATTTTGTTGGTTTGGAGAATTTCGGCTATGGTGACGAGAAGAATTTTGTTATGGAAGTTTTTTCCCTGTAAATATAATATTAATATTTACATCTCCAAGGTTTTCTGTTATTTATAATAATGTTTTGGTTAGAATGTTTATGAAAATATGTTTGCCAAAAATTTGTATTTTTATTACATGCAATGTTGTAACAACTGCTGGATGCAATATAACGAACACCTAAGCGTTGTTCTGTGGTCTTGATGTGGGCGTTGATGTTATTATGGTCACTGTTGTTGTTGATGATGTTGTTTTTGTTGGTGGTGATGCCATTCTTTGTAATGTTGTTGTTGTCGTTGTTGTGTTATTGTAGTAGCTGTTAATCACAGAATAACTTATTACAGTTATTGATTTCAAGTATTAGTTGTTGTCGGCAATGTTTTTGTATAATATACCTATATAGATGTTTCTGTTAACACCCATACTAATGTTGAAAGCTGAGGAAATTAAATTAATATGTAATTAATGGTACGTGTGCGTGTGTTTGTGTAGGTGCGCGCGTGTGCGCGCGTTTGCGTGTATGTATGTGTGCGTGTGCACGTGTGTGTTTTGTGTGTTGTTTGTGTATGTTTGTGTTTTGTTTGTGTATGTATGTTTTGGTTTTTTGTGTTTGTGTTTTGCGTGCGTGTGTGTGTTTGAATAATAAAAAGCAACACGACAGAACACCACGACAGAACAACAAAAATATTTATGTCTCTCACTTTTTCATCGATAACTGAACTAATAAATCGTGTGGGACATCAAAGCATTTACCGTCTCGTTCTCTTTCTCTCTCGTTTTTTTAACTCTTCCCCCCCCCCCTCTCTCTCTCTCTCTCTCTCCTCTCTTTTTTCACTAACTACCAACAACCTACTAGCAACAATTTGCAAAGATTATGCTTGAATGTTTCGTTAATATACTTTAATGTGTTCGAGTGTTTTGTAAACGTTTTTAAATGTGCCAAATTTGTTGCAAAGTTGATGTCAATTTTTGCTGAAACTTTTAATCTCACTTCTCCAACCTAGCATGCACTCTGAACAAATTATAAAATGTTTGAAAAGTTTGCTAGAGAATGATTTCTAATCTAAATTGTAGAATTAAAAATTAGATCTTTTACAGGGAAAACTAAAAGAACAAAAAGAAATTGTGTAGCAGTAAATGAACAAACAAAAACAAATAAACAAGCAAACAAGCAAACAAGCAAACAAGCAAACAAGCAAGCAAAATGATTGAGTGATTTCCGTTAGAAAGAACTTTCATTTGTTTGCAGAGAATCAGTAGAAACAATATAAATGGTACGAAAGCCGCACGAAGTGATGCTTGTAGCACCAGCAACTTCAAAACAACTGCAGATGTCAACATGAGAATGTGCAGTGGATGTTACGTTATACGCCCGCGGCCATTCATTGCACTGCGTGCATACATTAGCCGAGTTGTTTGTGTTGTTCAAGAAACGTTCCAAAGGTAGAAAAAATTATTTTAAAACATTAGAAATATATGATACGTAGTCAAATTAAAAAAAAATATAGTTTATTTAAGTAAAGTAAGTAAAACATTTAAAGTAAAATATTCATTCAAGAAAATCTAAGGCAATAACTCTAAAGAAACGTATCGCTGGTGGTCTCTTATTTTCGGTTTACATTATGAAGTAATTTCTTTCAAGTAATTTTGCCTCTGCTTAATGGATGGCGGACAGGCACGCTTGCCATGTTCACGGGCAGTAAACTTTTTCAAGTTTCTTGCAAGTTTTTCAGGTTATTTTCAAACAACTGTTTAAAAATAGATAAATAAATAACAATGTAGAGTCTAAATTAATAATAAAACAATTATATTACAGTTTGAATTAGTTAGATGTTGTGACATTTTTGAAGTATTTTCATTTGCAAACATCTCTTGCTGTGTTCATATTATGAGTTTCCAACAAACGTCTGCTTCAGAAGATAAAATGAAGACAGAAATAATGCAGATTTGTTTTATTCGCACATAAATCCGCTGCAGCGTAGGCTGTGTAACGTACTACGTGTTTGCTTATGCGGAATCTCTGCGCTGTAAACATCAACATTAAATGGGCTAACATAAAATGGGCCTCTCTCTTCTCTTCAATTGCTTGCTCTGCAATGAATGCCCTACAAATGTATTATCATATTAGGGTCCAGACAGCAATTGAACCATGTAAATTTTGTGAGTAAAATTATTTTTTCCAACTCAATTACTTCATCTCCTGAGCTGAACTGATCAATGAAAATTAGGATGTAAAACGTCCTTCACGACATAAACAAAGTAAGAACTGTGCATAAAAATGTGTTGCTCCATAAAACATGACATAAATTCTGCAAGCAAGCAATAATGTCTTTTTCCGAAGTAGGCATAATTTAGAGATGATTTTCGTTTGTGATGTGCGTGGGCTTCAAACTGCACACTACATACGTGATTTAAAACGATTCAGAGACAAGTATTGAATCTATATTTAGTAGGGTGAGATTTTTTTGACGGTGCAATGATATAAATTTGTTTGTTCATTGTTTACTGTCTGCTCTGCTTGCTTCCTACCAAGCAGCATAACGACGTAATATCTTCTTCTTATGTTGAAAGCACATCTGAGTTCATTGTTGATGCGTACATGTGTGATGATCAAAATAATGTAACCAACACTAGAGTACACAAATTCAAACACAAAAATTTTTACTAACAAATATCTAAACATTTTGAATTTAAGCTGAAATAAAATAAAAAAAAGAAACCTAAAAAAATTATATCATTGAAATTAAATAAAAATAAATATATTTCGATTAAATAAAATAAAACATTTTTTAATAAAAACAAAAAATTGTCTTCTGACTTGTGAAAACGAATTTAATTCAAAAAAAAAACAACAGAAAAAAAATATTACAGAAGAAAAATAGCCGAAGAAGAAGAGAAATTCATTAATACAAATAGAAGAGTAAACATGCGTAGAAACGTTGAAACCCGAAACTTATTGCTTTACTTTAATAAAACTAAATTTCAGTCGAGTAAATTTATATTACAGTGACCTTGTATGCATTAGGCTGGGGGGTTTTACAAATAAAATAAAAAATTAAATAAATTAATTAATAAATTGTCAGTACTTTTCGTATAATATGTTTATTATCTGTGTTTGTATGGATGTGTGTATGTTTAGACGTATGTTTGCTTGTCTGCCATTGATCAAATGGCGTGTGAATGTTGCATATATTGTATCAATCGATAGATTGCTCCTCAAAAATATGATTAACTATTCTTTCGGAGTCTACATCCATTCAGTTGTTTGTGATCATGGGTCATCACTGTGAAGAAAAAATTAACCAACGTTTCAACAACAATCAGTATTTACTTTGGAGTGACAACAATTGAGAACAGCGAACTACAACAAGTGGTGAACAAGTAACTTTACAGAAAATTACTAGAAAACACAAATTACAACGCCCTATAAAATCAAAATACAATAAATATAAAATCAAGAAAAGCTATTATACAGTTTACAAAAACAACTTCTTTGCATCGTCATCATCACAGGAATAGGCACAACATACAAAACATACAAAACATGGAAAAACGTCACATCACAGCCCACCACAGCACAACAACAATTATTTGATAAATCCTCTCACATTCAGATGAACGTAGAGATAAAATGTTTAAAAAACGAAGAAGAAATAAAATATGCAGCTACACGACAACACG